CGTGTAACAACGCCAAGACAGGACATATGGATATGGGTGACCCATCTTCGCCACAGGTTTCAGACTGCAGTGATGACTGCCCGAACCATCCCAGGACTTCGCCGTATCCACCCCAAAACAGTTCGACAACGTTTACGTCATCATGGGATCAGACCACGACGTCCCGCCATACGGCCTATCCTGACACAACGTCATCGACAACCTCGCCGAATGTGGTGCCGAAATAATGTCCGCAGACACTTGTTTTGGTGGAGAAATGTTTTTACAGATGCGTCCAGGTTTAACATTTCACATAGTGATGGACGTCAACGTGCCTATAGATGCGTGGGAGAACGTTATGCACAGGCCTGTGTCTTGGAGAGGAATCGCTTTGGTGGTGGTTCCGTGATGATTTGGGGTGGAATAACAGCACGCCAAAGAACTCCTTTGGTGATTGTTCAGGGTATCTTAACTGGTGTGGGCTACAGGGATCAGATTCTTTGACCTGTGGCAATTCCTTTTCTGCAACGTCATGGCCCTGGGTTAACATTCCAACAGGACAATGCCCGCCCTCATACGGCAAGGGTTGCTATGGATTTCTTGCAACACCACAACGTTGACTTACTGCCTTGGCCTGCAAATTCACCGGATCTCTCCCCGATAGAGCATGTTTGGGAAGAGATGGATCGACGTCTACGCTGTCTTCCTCATCCGCCAGATATCGTCCTTGACCTTGCAACAGAACTTGAGAGAATCTGGTGTGACATCCCACAAGCCTTCCTTGCACGTTTGATAGGCTCTATGCGTCGTCGATGCACTGCTGTTCTCAATGCCGATGGTGGACATACCCGTTATTGAGCTTGTGACATGGTCGTTTGACCCCTGTCCCGCTTGTGGACTCGTGACGTCATTGTGATTGACTTTTCAATTGAAATTCTCCCAACTTGTTATGGTCTCATGATCCCTCCATTAAAGTTTATATGTACCTTTGACATTGTTATCGTACTTATCAACTGGGATCATATTTTGACAATGCACAGTTTCTTTATGTGGCTAGTGTATTCTACCCTTACTAAAATTTACTTGACCAAAAGTTAATTGTAGGCAATACAGGGACAACCTGACAAAAAATAGTGTTTCTGGGTATAAGGTGTCTTTATTCTTTCTGAATGCATTTCATTCATTTGAATCGACAAAATGTCATGGAATATAATACATATATAGAAAATATTGAAAAAATATGTCAATTTCACAAGTCCTAATTGATCAGTCAGTCAAAACACACATGCCTTGGTCAGCCATGATACAGGTATTTTATTTCATTCAGCTTAGTTATCAAGGAGGTCACACAAATAACAATTACTTTGCAGATTTAATCAAATGTCCAGCAGCATCAAGGAACTTGAGTGGTGTTCTCCTGCCAGTCTGGTGGTGCTCTTTCAGTCGGAGCAGTCTGGCACCCAGTTCCCTGTACACACGCCTGTGTGTCTTGGGCAGGGGACCACAATCCATCTGGGTATGGTTTGACTGGTCTATGGATTCAATGTTCTTGATGTTTGTGACAAACAGGAAGATGTTCGGTTTGGGTTTTTCAAAATATGATGCCATCCCTCAAGATGGGTATCCATCCTGGGCCCAATATTGCTGAACTGTGTCCAGATTCCTACAGGAAAGCCTGCCTTATCATCCACCCATGTGCTGGTCATATAGTCATTGAAGCTGTTTATCTCTCCGAATCTGGGCCTTCATCCATGGCTGTGATCCAAGTGTCTTGTACCATGTCTTGTGGAAGGAGTGGAAGGGCAGCATTGAAACTTTAATTTGCCATTCATTATCACAAATATCATCATGTCATTTAATTCAAGTGCTACTGCAATAATTACCCATTCTCAAAACTCAACAACATACCCTTTTTTGTAGGCAAACTGGAATGTAGGCAAATTAGAATTGTAGGCAGAATGGGATGTAACTGCTAATGACACCTAGTTTGCTGAGCTGGAACCCCCTCCTGTTAACTGGCTTCATCAATTATATTGTAATCTTTATAATTAAGCTCATCCCATTGTCATTATATTGCTATAGTTGTACATATAGCAGTATATATATATACTCGGCATCATTAATGAAGGGTCAAGCTATTAGTAACACTATTTCTTTAAAATTGTGAAAGCTTCATTTTTGTTTGAAATATATACACCTGAATGTTTTACAAACTTTCTTAACCGTATGAAAACACACATCAGGCCGTTGAAATGTCATTATTACGTTCTTTAACGTCCGATACATTCTGTTACAAATGGCACATTTTATATTGAACTTGTCAATATGGAAATCGGCCTGCCACTGAAAGGCAATGAATTGCACGTGCAAGTCGCTCTATCCATGGAAAGTTGAGAACAATACACATGCATTGATGCCTTTTCACTGTCGTTCACTGTTCAGGTACCTGTTTGAAATCGTAGCTTAAAATGAGACGTTTTTGACACTTGCTGAAAGGGACCAGTGTATAGGCCTTTTGGAATCTGGTCAAATTCAGCAGCAGGTTGCAGTCAGCTTTAATGTGAGTCAGACTGCTATTGGTAGACTGTGGAAGAGATCTAGATTTCAAGCCAGTGGGAATATGCACGTTGACCAAGTTGTCCCAGAGTCACAACAGTCCGAGATGATAAGCACATGATTGACACTGCGCTACGTAACAGATTCCTTAATGCAGCAGCAGATCTTCAGAGAGAATACTTCAATGTTAACCATGTAAGGGTATGCAGGAGCACTGTTCGTTGCCGGACTCCCCTGTAGGTGACCTGCAGTTCGTCCACCACGTGACAGGCAGGTGCGTTTGAGATGGAATAGACATCATGGCCGCTGGAATCAACGTCAATGGTCTCGTGTGCTCTTTACATATGAAAGCAGATTCAATTTGTCCTTCTGTGATGGTCGGCAGAGGATTCATCGTGACGCGATGGAGAGTGAATCAGGGGGGGGTCTGTCATGGTTTGGGCATGGATAACTCCTAATGGACGTACTCCACTGCATGTGGTTGACGGTAATCTTGTGCAATCTCATAACATAATGCATCATGGTATTTTCATGGTACATCTAATCATCTATAGCATCATTCTAGAACATCAGCATCTTTGTACATCTTAATTGATGTATGACTGGATGACTATGAGATGTAACAAGAACCGGATTATCCATTGTCTTCATGGACCCACGACATTCTAATGCAATTTTTCTTGAACATTCTCACCTAATACTACTCTTATTTTTAACCTTCTTAGTGTACAAAAATCCATCTAATGCTATTTTAACTCGTCCCTTCCATTTTGGAACAGTGATAAAAACTATCATCATCACAGACACATTTATACAATTTATCAATGCATCCACTGGCCTCTGTTACGAAAACATGCTAATCGACTTATCTCACTGGCTTCTGTCATGAAAACATGCTAATCGACTTATCACACTGGCTTCTGTCATGAAAACAAGCTAATCGGTGAAAAAGGGTAGCAGTAACATGTAACAAAGGGATTTTGTCCTATGTTGGTCATTTTGGTGTGGGATTTTGTCCAAAGAAATTTTGTCCTATGGGATTTTGTCCTGTTGGGATTTTGTCCGTCCCCTTTGGCAGTTATTGGTGCAACATCTCCAGTAATTGAAAGCTTATACCCATAATAATCAGATTTGCATCACCCTGAGCATCTGGGACTTCACTTTCTGAGTAAAGTAGAAATTCTAGAACAATTTTGTGTGCTGGCAATTAGGTGACTCACTTTGAGTTTGTGGGTTTAAATCATGGTTGGGACACAACTCCCCCAAAGTACTAGAATTTGTATCTCACTAAGAAATTATAATCCCAGACGAAATGCATGCTACATTTGACAACTTTGTGTATTTATAGATGGTACACTTGCCTGACAATGTTTAACCTTTACACATTTCTAGATTTGATAACTGATTATGTTCAAGTTTTAATCTTCATTCTTCTGTACAACAGTTCATCTGTGGGGCAGGTCTGACACCACATCCACAGACTCACCATTGTCTTAGTCGTACTGGTCTATTATCAGTTCAGATAAACAGATTTTATTATATACTGGTATTTAAGTGTGAAAGGCAGATAATTAGGAGTTTGAGAAAAGTGATATTTTCACTGCAGTACTTCTAACACAACACAATAAATGGTAATGTAAACATATGCTTTTTCCCAAATACATTTGGTCTGCAAGCATGGGCATCAGATAACATAATCTCCAGGAACGAAGTTCTCAACACTCAGTTAATGGCCAAGTAATTCGAATTCAGTGCAGTGGCACAGTGGCACTTTGCTCAATGTTTTAATATGTATCAAACTGCTGTATGTTCTCTGTGTCACTATACATGTATGTGATATTTGAGAATAAAATTTCTGTTCTGTTCTGGTACTGAGCAAGTGAGACTGTGAGCGACTGTCCCTTACTGCATTCATTCACACCTCTCTTGGTGCTTGTTTATATTTGTTCAGAACATGTGAGTTACGAGCTGGCTGCATTCAAAACTCACCTTTTCCATACAAGTGACTTTATTTCACTTAATAGCCAATGGTGATTTCCCCGTATTTATACTTTTTGACTGTAAAGTGTTGATTTATTTCTCAAATGCTCTGTTCTCCTTCTCTTAGCATGCCATGTTTGTGTTCTGTATCCTACAGTATATGTACACCAGCGTTCTGACATTGAAGACTAAAGGGATTGTTTGATGTATATAATTATAAGTGCTGATCTTATTCCTACAATGACAATAAAATGATAGCAATTGATACCAATGTATGTTGATTTGAATTTTTGTGTTATTTCCAATACTGAACTAGACATCTTATCTGTGCGCTTGAACAAAGAAGTTTTGATTATTGTTTTTCACATCACTCGATGACAGATGCATCATCTTGGACCAGACAAATGAAATGTGTATTATGGTAGGCAGCCCACATTGGCAGCATTTGAATGATCTGTTATAAAGCTGAATATACTGGACAATACCTTTACATTCGTTGATCTGTAGAAGAGTGACTTTGCCCGTGGTAAAACCATCTTCTTGATGATACTGTCATCCAAATATTCCTTAATACCATTTATAGCAGCAACAGCAGCTTCCTGTTAACAGAGCATTGAAAACATTATATCCATATTGAACAGAACAAGTTAAAGCATATGAAAGTGACAAGACTGTGTGTTTGCCAGTTATATTATGCTGTTAATATATATACATTTGCAAATACAAATAGCAAACATTTTCAGTGCTAATTAGAAATTAAGCTACTAGGTTCTGTAGTTCACTTAAATGTTTCTGGAATAGTAGATGAGACGGGATAAAAAGGGTAAGGAGGAAATCTCTACACAACATACATCCTTACAGCATGCTACACTGCCACAGTGATACATCCACTACTAGCTCCCTGGAGGGCAAGTGTGACTGAAGTCACCAACACTGACACAGTCATACATCCACTACTAGCTCCCTGGAGGGCAAGTGTGACTGAAGTCACCAACACTGACACAGTCATACATCCACTACTAGCTCCCTGGAGGGCAAGTGTGACTGAAGTCACCAACTCTGACACAGTCATACATCCACTACTAGCTCCCTGGAGGGCAAGTGTGACTGAAGTCACCAACACTGACACAGTCATACATCCACTACTAGCTCCCTGGAGGGCAAGTGTGACTGAAGTCACCAACACTGACACAGTCATACATCCACTACTAGCTCCCTGGAGGGCAAGTGTGACTGAAGTCACCAACACTGACACAGTCATACATCCACTACTAGCTTCCAGGAGGGCAAGTGTGACTGAAGTCACCAACACTGACACAGTGATGCATCCACTACTAGCTCCCTGGAGGGCAAGTGTGACTGAAGTCACCAACACTGACACAGTGATACATCCACTACTAGCTCCCTGGAGGGCAAGTGTGACTGAAGTCACCAACACTGACACAGTCATACATCCACTACTAGCTCCCTGGAGGGCAAGTGTGACTGAAGTCACCAACACTGACATAGTGATACATCCACTACTAGCTCCCTGGAGGCAAGTGTGACTGAAGTCACCAACACTGACACAGTCATACATCCACTACTAGCTCCCTGGAGGGCAAGTGTGACTGAAGTCACCAACACTGACACAGTGATACATCCACTACTAGCTCCCTGGAGGGCAAGTGTGACTGAAGTCACCAACACTGACACAGTGATACATCCACTACTAGCTCCCTGGAGGGCAAGTGTGACTGAAGTCACCAACACTGACACAGTCATACATCCACTACTAGCTCCCTGGAGGGCAAGTGTGACTGAAGTCACCAACACTGACACAGTGATACATCCACTACTAGCTCCCTGGAGGGCAAGTGTGACTGAAGTCACCAACACTGACACAGTGATACATCCACTACTAGATCCCTGGAGGGCAAGTGTGACTGAAGTCACCAACACTGACACAGTCATACATCCACTACTAGCTCCCTGGAGGGCAAGTGTGACTGAAGTCACCAACACTGACACAGTGATACATCCACTACTAGCTCCCTGGAGGGCAAGTGTGACTGAAGTCACCAACACTGACACAGTCATACATCCACTACTAGCTTCCTGGAGGGCAAGTGTGACTGAAGTCACCAACACTGACACAGTGATGCATCCACTACTAGCTCCCTGGAGGGCAAGTGTGACTGAAGTCACCAACACTGACACAGTGATACATCCACTACTAGCTCCCTGGAGGGCAAGTGTGACTGAAGTCACCAACACTGACACAGTGATACATCCACTACTAGCTCCCTGGAGGCAAGTGTGACTGAAGTCACCAACACTGACACAGTGATACATCCACTACTAGCTCCCTGGAGGGCAAGTGTGACTGAAGTCACCAACACTGACACAGTCATACATCCACTACTAGCTCCCTGGAGGGCAAGTGTGACTGAAGTCACCAACACTGACACAGTCATACATCCACTACTAGCTCCCTGGAGGGCAAGTCTGACTGAAGTCACCAACACTGACACAGTCATACATCCACTACTAGCTCCCTGGAGGGCAAGTGTGACTGAAGTCACCAACACTGACACAGTGATACATCCACTACTAGATCCCTGGAGGGCAAGTGTGACTGAAGTCACCAACACTGACACAGTCATACATCCACTACTAGATCCCTGGAGGGCAAGTGTGACTGAAGCCACCAACACTGACACAGTCATACATCCACTACTAGCTCCCTGGAGGGCAAGTGTGATTGAAGTCACCAACACTGACACAGTGATACATCCACCACTAGCTCCCTGGAGGGCAAGTGTGACTGAAGTCACCAACACTGACACAGTGATACATCCACTACTAGATCCCTGGAGGGCAAGTGTGACTGAAGTCTCCAACACTGACACAGTGATACATCCACTACTAGCTTCCTGGAGGGCAAGTGTGACTGAAGTCACCAACACTGACACAGTGATACATCCACTACTAGCTCCCTGGAGGGCAAGTGTGACTGAAGTCACCAACACTGGCACAGTGATACATCCACTACTAGCTCCCTGGAGGGCAAGTGTGACTGAAGTCACCAACACTGACACAGTCATACATCCACTACTAGCTCCCTGGAGGGCAAGTGTGACTGAAGTCACCAACACTGACACAGTCATACATCCACTACTAGCTCCCTGGAGGGCAAGTGTGACTGAAGTCACCAACACTGACACAGTGATGCATCCACTACTAGCTCCCTGGAGGGCAAGTGTGACTGAAGTCACCAACACTGACACAGTCATACATCCACTACTAGCTCCCTGGAGGGCAAGTGTGATTGAAGTCACCAACAGTGACACAGTCATACATCCACTACTAGCTCCCTGGAGGGCAAGTGTGACTGAAGTCACCAACACTGACACAGTGATGCATCCACTACTAGCTCCCTGGAGGGCAAGTGTGACTGAAGTCACCAACACTGACACAGTCATACATCCACTACTAGCTCCCTGGAGGGCAAGTGTGATTGAAGTCACCAACACTGACACAGTGATACATCCACTACTAGGGCAAGTGTGACTGAAGTCACCAACACTGACACGGTGATACATCCACTACTATCTCCCTGGAGGGCAAGTGTGACTGAAGTCACCAACACTGACACAGTGATACATCCACTACTAGCTCCCTGGAGGGCAAGTGTGACTGAAGTCACCAACACTGACACAGTCATACATCCACTACTAGCTCCCTGGAGGGCAAGTGTGACTGAAGTCACCAACACTGACACAGTGATACATCCACTACTAGCTCCCTGGAGGGCAAGTGTGACTGAAGTCACCAACACTGACACAGTGATACATCCACTACTAGCTCCCTGGAGGGCAAGTGTGACTGAAGCCACCAACACTGACACAGTCATACATCCACTACTAGCTCCCTGGAGGGCAAGTGTGACTGAAGTCACCAACACTGACACAGTGATACATCCACTACTAGCTCCCTGGAGGGCAAGTGTGACTGAAGTCACCAACACTGACACAGTCATACATCCACTACTAGCTTCCAGGAGGGCAAGTGTGACTGAAGTCACCAACACTGACACAGTGATGCATCCACTACTAGCTCCCTGGAGGGCAAGTGTGACTGAAGTCACCAACACTGACACGGTGATACATCCACTACTAGCTCCCTGGAGGGCAAGTGTGACTGAAGTCACCAACACTGACACGGTGATACATCCACTACTAGCTCCCTGGAGGGCAAGTGTGACTGAAGTCACCAACACTGACACAGTGATACATCCACTACTAGCTCCCTGGAGGGCAAGTGTGACTGAAGTCACCAACACTGACACAGTGATACATCCACTACTAGCTCCCTGGAGGGCAAGTGTGACTGAAGTCACCAACACTGACACAGTGATACATCCACTACTAGCTCCCTGGAGGGCAAGTGTGACTGAAGTCACCAACACTGACACAGTGATACATCCACTACTAGCTCCCTGGAGGGCAAGTGTGACTGAAGTCACCAACACTGACACGGTGATACATCCACTACTAGCTCCCTGGAGGGCAAGTGTGACTGAAGTCACCAACACTGACACAGTGATACATCCACTACTAGCTCCCTGGAGGGCAAGTGTGACTGAAGTCACCAACACTGACATAGTGATACATCCACTACTAGCTCCCTGAGGGCAAGTGTGACTGAAGTCACCAACACTGACACAGTGATACATCCACTACTAGCTCCCTGGAGGGCAAGTGTGACTGAAGTCACCAACACTGACACAGTGATACATCCACTACTAGCTCCCTGGAGGGCAAGTGTGACTGAAGTCACCAACACTGACACAGTCATACATCCACTACTAGCTCCCTGGAGGGCAAGTGTGACTGAAGTCACCAACACTGACACAGTCATACATCCACTACTAGCTCCCTGGAGGGCAAGTCTGACTGAAGTCACCAACACTGACACAGTCATACATCCACTACTAGCTCCCTGGAGGGCAAGTGTGACTGAAGTCACCAACACTGACACAGTGATACATCCACTACTAGATCCCTGGAGGGCAAGTGTGACTGAAGTCACCAACACTGACACAGTCATGCATCCACTACTAGATCCCTGGAGGGCAAGTGTGACTGAAGCCACCAACACTGACACAGTCATACATCCACTACTAGCTCCCTGGAGGGCAAGTGTGATTGAAGTCACCAACACTGACACAGTGATACATCCACCACTAGCTCCCTGGAGGGCAAGTGTGACTGAAGTCACCAACACTGACACAGTGATACATCCACTACTAGATCCCTGGAGGGCAAGTGTGACTGAAGTCTCCAACACTGACACAGTGATACATCCACTACTAGCTTCCTGGAGGGCAAGTGTGACTGAAGTCACCAACACTGACACAGTGATACATCCACTACTAGCTCCCTGGAGGGCAAGTGTGACTGAAGTCACCAACACTGGCACAGTGATACATCCACTACTAGCTCCCTGGAGGGCAAGTGTGACTGAAGTCACCAACACTGACACAGTCATACATCCACTACTAGCTCCCTGGAAGGCAAGTGTGACTGAAGTCACCAACACTGACACAGTCATACAT